ATGTGTGTGTGTGTGTTTATGTATGTATATAATTTTATAAGAATTTTTGTTTTTGTATTTTACCTTACTCTTTAGAAAGTAGATTTTCTTTTGTTAGTGAAGATTAGATTTAGCGGGGAGACGAGATAACATTTAGAGTAGGAAAACAATGGCTTGGTGTGAACTAATTTAACCTACTGTTTTTAATCACATTAGCTCTCTATTGTCCCTTTATTTACAAGTAAGGGTGAAAATTCAAATAAGCAGCCTGTCGCCCCCCTCAGCCCCCCTCAGCCCCCMTCAGCACCCCCTCCTCCTCGGGGCTTTCAACGCCAACCGCCGCCTCTGGTCGCAGGCACAGAGGGGAGGAGGAGGACTGGCCTCCGGGCGGAGGGAAAACTTTTCCTCCATTGTTGTTGGGCTCACTTCAGCGGGCAGGAGAAGAGAGAGGAKCCGCGGCAGGACCGTCCGAGGAGGCTGACATGGACTGTTGTGAGGACGGAAACTCGACCGGGTAAAGTTCCGGACAGAGTGAGTTGAAAGCCGGCTAACCCCCGGAGCTAACCCCCCTCCACACATCTGCAGCCGCGCCTGGGCGAGGTTTTAATGTAACATTTGCATGAAGCAGGAACAAACAAATAATAGTTGAGGAAAATCGCTGCTGCTGCAGGTTTGGGAGTCCATAAAGAGCCTGGGGATAAGTTGAGAGAAAACCGGTTTTCTCTGGTCCTCTTTGTGTTTCTGAATGGTTTTCCTGTCTGATTAAAGGAGTTCCAGGAGCCTGGCTCCGGAGGTAAGTTTTTACACTTAAGATAAATAATTATAGCATATTRTATCTGAGTTTTCGTGTTATACAAAACGAGGCAGCGCTTAATGTCAGTGAATAAAATTGTTTAACAAGTAATTGTATGTTTTTAGTGCAATATTCCAGCTGGAGCTGTTTGTAAGAACACAAACCCAGGCTGCACTTTTACTTTTTAATCACCATAATACAATCATCCTTCAGCCTTTTAGGGCAATTAATTAATGAGGCTTTAGTCATGAGCAGTAAATCAGGTATTCACACAAAAAGTGCCAGAAATGTGTTTTAATTAGTAGATAATAATAAGCAACATATGAGTTTTGCATAAGATGGATCTAAAATAAAAGCTGTGACTGCTTAAAAGATCATATAAATGCAAAATGCAGATATTTTTGTACCAGATTCATTTTTAGTCACTAATGTTAAATACAAACATGCAGTTCTCTACATAAGTTTAACCCAGCCTCATTTCATAATGKATTGCCTTTTAAACCTTTTAAACTTGTGTTTCTCAGTAGTTCTTCAGGCTTTCTGGGGTTCTTGTTTCCTGAGTCTGGTTTCTTTTTGTCCAGCCCTTATCCCTGCATGACAACATTTTCTACAGATTGTTGTTTTAATGAGAGAAGAAGACAAAAGAAGAACGGTCTGAGCCARAAATACAAACATTATCTGAATGCCATGGTTTGAAGGAGTAGATAAAGAAAGTCTAATAAAGACCTGACAGGACCTGAGACATCTGTCATCCTTCAGCTGATCATGTGACAAGTTTGCAGTTAGCYTTTTTTATGGTGCTATAATGATATATTATGTGTCAAACTCTGTTTTCTTTGGCGGTTTTCTTAGAGTCAACCAAAGAAGTGGGATCAAATTGCCTTAAAAATAAGTTGTTTTGACACCAGCATTGAGTTTAGGAGCCTTTTTGTGCCTGATCAAAAAAACATTTGCACTAAACTGTACGTGGACATACTGTACGACTCCAGGCTTGCGTCAGAAAGTCCTGCCTTCCTTGTGCCTCTTCAGTGTGATGAAAGGTGGGGGTGCCTCTTGTTTTTTGGGTAGTAATGATGACAACCTGCAGGTCTTTTCTTTCCTGTGGTGCTTGCATGCATTGTGAGCTCACCCACTCATATGACCTACTCTGTCAGACTTCACCATATGTTCAATCCCTTAGAAAAGGCAGAAAGGAAACCCTTTCTTTTTGTATAGAAATAAAAATGGATGACAAGAAAAGAGGCATAAAGAGCAGAGGTTGGTGAAAATTCAACCCCTCATCTTTTTATTCGGCTCTTATTTTGAAAATAACCTGTTGCTAATTACATTGTTGTAAACTACCAAACGCTAGAGTTTCTTTAAAATTTCATGTTGTGTCACAGAAGTAGTGTATGGGAAAGCTGTAACAAAGAATAAAACAACTTTTTTTTTTTTTTTACCAGAAATGCAAGGATCTGAGTGCAGAGGAAAAACTCACTGTCACATGTTGGTAACCACAACGAAAGTGATGCCACAAAGTCTGAATCATTCGTTCGTGGACTTTTCATACACAGCTCTGTAAACACTGGTCGCATAAGAGGGTGGTGAGTTGGCATCGCAGGGAAAAATGAAGGACATGCATGATATTTAAAGCTTGTGAGGTCGCTGTACGAGGTACAATTACTGCAGACTGAGTCTAACAAAGGGGGATACAGTAAATGGTAGCTTGAAACGACAGAGCTGCCGACATATTTGAGCGCTGCACTGGTGGCCTGACTGAACCTCTGCTGTGTTTTAGGTCATGACTTTTCTTTAAGTGTATTTTTTGTGCAAATTATTAGTTTAAACTCAATTTTACAGAGTAATTTGGCTTTCCTATTAAAGTTGTATCCATATCACATCCTGAATGTGAAAGTTCTTTGGCGTGCTTACACAGAAAAGTGTAGTGGTATTTTGCCCAGAGACATTTTGCATAATCAGTGGTTACATTTAGGCCCTCTTTTCCAACCTGTTCATCAACATCCTATTATATATTCAGAGCTTCACTGTCACGCTCTCAACATATGGCCATCGCCTACCACATGCTTCTCTCTACCACAGACTTTAATAGAGCGTTATGGAGCTGCCCCTCCTTACCGCACACGTCACACACCCCACCCTCTGCCTCTGAATTACAACTCGCACTTGCTGTCGTCTAATCTGTGGATGGGAATCATGGCGTTAATGAGCATGTGCAGTGTCTGTCACGCACGTATTCATACTCCATCAGCGTGGTCGTCTCTGAACAGGGGCTTTGTCTCGCTGCGTCTGTTTATTCCCCTTTCTTCATAAGTAGCTCTCTGAAGTCTGAAGTTGAAAGATTTCTATTGTTTAGAACAATGATACTGCTTTTGAAAAAGTTGTGTCTGCTATGGGGAGGCTGTGGATGASTGGTTGGAGCAGTTGTCTTCTAATAAGAGAGTACACGTCTCAGTGTCCTCGGCCGAGAACCCTCACTGCTGCCGATGTGTGTCCCATTGGTGCATGAATGTGATTTAAATCACYGATKAGACTCAAGAATGATTAGCTGTGTATAGTTTAGGGTTGGGCAATATTGGCAAAAAATAATCATGATTAATTTTGGTATTTAGCCGATAACGATTCATTTGACAATTAATCCCCTGGAGTCCCTGGACACCCTTATGTCCTACATGACTAATTTAGTGGGAAAGATTTGCTCTTCATAAAAATCTGTTCCAAATTGTGTCAAAATTATAGACTTCAGGCTATACATCAAATTTTACATTGTGTTGACTGATAAATAAATTACAGAACTTTTTTTAATGTTCGTCATATTTGAAGTGGAGAGGAGCASCGAGCGGACTGACTAGAGAAATATCCAGTCAGTCTGCCTGGTGGCATTAATCGTATTAATCGTCAAGTGCCAAAAAATAATTAATTGCACTTGATATGATTATGCCCAACCCTAGTATAGTTGTAGTAGAGTGTTGTGTGAATGTTTGTGGATGGGTAAGTGAGGGCACAGTTTGTGGTGTAAAGCACTTTGGGTAGTCTGATTGGCTATATACGTAAGTACATTTGGTTTACCGTAATCTTAAGGTTCCAGGTTGAGTTTGGTTGACCTTTGTATAAATAAATAAATAGCGCAAAAAATGATTTTGAACCCATACATTTTTAGGAGACRTTCAACATTTTTAGCAAAAACATATTGAAAAGGTCAAGATTCCTCAACTGTAYGGCGTTTTTTAAGTTTATGAACTTATGACCTATGTGAGTCAATCAATAGCAGCTGCTTACATTTTGTTGCCATGTTTATTTATACGTGCTTGTGTTTAGTTTTACAGCAGTGACAAAATGTGGATAGAAAAAAGCAAACCTCGAGTGGAAAAACATACATTTCCTAGAACCAAAGTTTGACACTTGTGTGAAATACGTTGGTTTATCTAAAACTGTCCCACGAGCCAAACATAATCTACTTAGGTTTTAGGAGAGGACTACATTCAACAAAATACAGACACAAGCGAAGGTACCAAACAGTCCCTGCAGTGTTCCAGTTTCACTGTTGTATTTATTTTTGTGGGTGTGTTAAGTTTTAGAGCTTAGAAAGAATGGCTGAGGACATTAAATCTGAAATGGCATGAACCAAATAGTCCCAAGAACCAGTGTTTGACTGGTGGCAGTGACAACGCTCAGGATTGTTGGTTTCTAATTGTTGCAAACTGAAGTTAAAAGAGCTCAATTTTAGTTTCTGTGTCATGTGGAGAAAGTCTGGTAAGAGCAAAAAGTGTATTTATATTTGGTTATTTTTTCAAGTAAAAGTTGTTGCACAAAATTCCTTCTCAGTTTAAGTCACATTTGTTACACAGTTGTTCATCGTGTAGTTTAGATTGAAAAAAAGCAAGATTACACGCTTTCTTTTCTTATATTGTAACACTGCCTGCACTGCTGCTTTTGGACTAATTTATCAACTCTTAACAGTTTATATGAGTAGGGCTGCCATGATTAGTCGACTAATCGACTATTAAATCGACTAATC